ATTTTAGTGTTCTGCTATCGGAGTACTTGTCACTCATTTCAGGTACAATTCCTTTATCAGATATGTTTGTTGTGAATTTTTTTTAAGTCTATTTTGTCTCTTAGAATTTTAAACTTTGGATTTCAGTTTATCAGTATTTTCTTACATGTATTTGGTCCTTTCTGTGTCCTTTCCATGAAATTTTTTTTGCCCTATGTTGGAGAAATTGCTGTTTTCTCCTAGACATCTGATTATTTTAAGATTTACATTTAGGTAAATCTCTGAATTAGGTCTTCAAAGTGAGATTGTGGCTCCTAGAACATTTGCCTTGGCTGGTGCGGAACTTCACCTCACTATACAGGTTTGCTCCAGAAACTGCTTTGGGTTTTTTTCAAGTGGCACGACACTCAACTTTTTCTGCTCTTGAGTGGGAATAGTGGTAGGAGCTTAGTTGCACATAGATTGTGAAGCAAGAGTGATCTGCCCAGGTAGCAGAATCTGTTAACTTGATGTTGACATCTAGAGCAGTAGTGGAGAACCTGTGGCAGGCATGCCACAGCAGGCATACTGCTCCTTCTCTGTTGGGGTCTGAGCCAAGTTACCCCAACCAAGGTTTGAGAAATTATCAGCATGCATACAACAGCAGAAGTCACATTAATTATGCAGAAGCCTGCCAAACGCAGGCTTGTTCCTTTCAATAAAAAGCTTTGTATCATTGAAAGATCTGTTACTGTCTCTCTCTCTCTCTTTTTTTTTTTTTTGGTACCTGGGATGAATTCATCTCTTTGCACTTCTGAGGCAGGCAGTGGCATCACTGAGCTGCATCCCCAGCCCTGTTACTGTGTTTCTCTTTTAAGACAAATGATGTTAATGTCTGAGTTGTTTTTTCTAAACTAAAACCTCAGTATTCAGGTTTAATTGCATTGTTGGCACTTTGGGATAAATAAGTGGGTTTTGGGTTACAGTTTGCTCATTCAGTCTCTAAAAGATTTACCATCACTGTTAAAAAAGAGTATTTCATATATGTGATCAAATCATGTTTTAAAAGTTGATTATCTTCTACTTATACCACCTTATGTTGTTTTGTTGGTATATAAGTATGTTTTAATCCACATATAGTATCTGTGTCTAGTGGATGTCTTCTGTGATTGTATTCCCCAATCCATTATGATGACATTTCTCTCTCTGTCTCTCTCTCTCTTTCTGTCTCTCTCTCTCTCTCTCTCTCTCTCTCTCTCTCTCTCTCTCTCTCTCTTCCTTCCTTCCTTCCTTTCCTTCCCCTCCCCCTTCCCTTTCCTTGTACTGGGGATCAAACACAGGTCCTTGAGCTTGTGAGGCAGGCACCAGAACCACTGAGCTAAATCCCCACCGCAGACATTTCTATATCTTACGAACACAATGATTGTCATTTTCTTTGTGCTTTTAAAATGGCTTGATTTTGTACGTGCATTTGCAAAGAACATACGCGGTGTCATAAACATATTTTAATCATGTGTTAAAGCTATCACAGATTTTGAAATTTAGTACTCAAGTATTTGAATATTTATACTGTTGGTGTTTATGAGTTACTAAAGCACAGAAGATATATTCGCTATGCGATTGAGGAGCTCTGGAAAGAGGGGCTTTTTCAAAAGGTAAAAGTGCAGGCAGCCTATCCGGGAATAAGAATAAGTGTTTTAGGTAGAAGTGCTGAGTGTGGGTAGAATATGGGCGGTGGAAATGTAGATAAGGCAAATCCTGAAAGTTAACCTGTGGTCGCTTGTAAAAACTTGTATGTTATGATGTAAATCTGTACTGTGTTTTAATTGTCAAATAATAGACATTTTAGGGTGGGGATTAACCTAATCTGTAGTTTTGCTTTGTTTTTTTTTGGTACTAGGTATCAAACTTGGGCCCTTGCACTTGAGATGCAGATGCCGGAACCACTGAGCTAAATCCCCAGCCCCATAGGTTTTTTTTTTTTTGTTTTGTTTTTTTACTTCATTTGGAATTCAGGTTGATTAGGGAAATTACAAAAATGGAGACCATTGAGTATTTAGTATTATCTTCTCTTTAAATAGGCAAAAAATAATGAGTAGTAGCAAGGCTAGAAGGCAAAGTCTGTGTTTAGGAAGCTTTACAAGGAGAAAAAGTGGTTCAGTCAGTTACTCTTTGATTTTGCTACAGAGCAGCCCATAAAGCTTTGTTCATGGGATTGAGTCGGATGAAATTTTCCTTGTAGGAGGATACCTTTTGAAGTACAGTGGCAGGAAATACTTGTTGCTGGAAGGAGGGTTTAATTGAACTAGCTCAGAGAGGATAGTACTGTTGTTACTTTACTTGGTAATACTCACTATCATCTATTTCACTTTAAAGTAAAAGGCCAGTAATGTATGACTTCTTGAGTGTTACTTGATAGCAAATGGAATAGTATATTTTTAAAGAAAAAAATGTCATTAGCTTTAATATTAGCATTTACATTGAAGTATATTTGTAATTTTGAACCTCTTTTATACTTTGTGCTGTGAAATTTTTAAATTCTGAGTGTTCATTTCCTAAACAAAATCTGTTATTGAGCTGTGTGAGTTTGTGAGGGCAGGAAGCAGTTGTGTGTTTTATATGTGCTGTGATAGGAAATTGGGGGGTTTTCTATTTCCAATCTGTCCTGCTTCTGACGTTAGTATGTTGCTAGATTCAGATGTCAGCTCAAAGTGCCGGTCGGAAATCAAATTCCTAGTTATAGGCATGACCTGTTAAAGCAGAACAAGGTCATTGTTCGTGGGCTTTCTCTAGCAGGCAGGTTGTGGGGTGCAAATGGCTCCTCCTTTATCTCCTCTGTCCAGTACCCTTAGTGATTCCCTGGCAGAGATTGAAAACATGTCACTGAGTTCATCTATTGACAGAGGCACTAAAGAAAGTGCAAGTTGTAGCATGAATGTAAGGTTAAAATTATTAAAGAAGTCAGGTTCTCTTAAAACAATTTGACTACGTCTTTAAAATTTAGAAGCATATATTTTAACCAAACATGTTTGTAGGCGGATGGCTTTACTTTATTATGTTCCTCCCCTACCTCCTTCTCCTCCTTTTTATTCCTTGTCCTCTTTTTCTACCTCTTCCTCATTGTTGTTGTTTTCTTCTTTCTCTTCCTTTTCCTCCTCTCCGTTGTTGTCATCGCCATCGTTGTCTTCCTTTCTTTTTTGGAGGCAGACTCTTACAGTGTTGCCCTGGCTGGTCTTGAACTCCTGGGCCCAAGTGATCATCCTGCCTCAGCCTCCTGAGTGGTAGGGCTACAGGTGCATACTGTTGTACCTGGCTACCTGACTTTGTTTTCTAATATTTTAAAAGTTTGAGAATTTTTGATGCTATATTTCATCATAAACATTTTTGCAATATTTTATCATAAATGTTTTCCCCATCTTATATTTACAACTAAGTTCCATAAAAAGAAACAGTTGTCACTATATATCTAAAAATTAAACACTTTTAAATATGTCTGTTTCCATGTGACAGAATACTGAACTTCTCTAGAAAATTTAAGACCTAAAGAAAGTGAAAAAAAAGTTTCAAAGTATTTTGAACTATTTACTATATTTTTGTTACATCTTACAGGTGTTTATCTTTCTTTTTAAAACGTATCTATTGTGAAGAATGTAAAAAGACTGATGGAAAAGTGGATTGAATAGCTAGGAGAGTGAAATGTAAAGTAACAGGAATTCTGTGTAGCAGCTCAGGGGGCTTGAAATTACTGGGTCATCTTTACTGTTTGATGCTTAGCTATGAAAATGGTAGTGAGAGCAGAGACTGGAAGCTTGAAGTGACCATATTTGTAATAATTAGAATATACATTCTTTTGTAAGTCTTTTTGGGATATGTATATATATGTTTATACTTACTAATTATAAAGCTGTGTTAAGATTTGTTTTACGTATAGCTCCAAAAGTATTGCTGTTAATGAATAAAAGTGCCTCCAACCATTCTGGGCTTTTATAAAATTGAATATGGAAAAATATAATAGCAAAATCATTATGTACAAAAGGAAGCAAATCTTTAGGAACAGTGTCACACTAGTGAAACTCAGTTGCTTTAAGATATACAGTATTTAGGAAATAAAGTTTTATAATAAATTTGAGTCTGAAAGTCAGAATAATAACTGATGATGTTAGTTTTTGGTAAAGGAGTGTGAACTTACCTCTGGTTTTGTTAGCTGTCAGAATAAACAATGTAAAAGAAAGGAACTTTCTGTGTTAGAACAATATTTACAAAAATACAAAAATAGATCCACAAGATTTTTACCTATCTTAAGAAGGAATAAGATAGAGGGAGGCAGGGTGGTCCAAAAAAGGAAAAAGGAATGAATTTGCCTAAGTTTTGAGACATAAGGTTAATATTTCAGATTATATAACATTCATCTATTCTATATCATACTACATAGATATTTTGTAGATATTTAAATGTGTTATATATTAAAATTTATGGAAGACTATTCTACATTATAAATAGGTAATTTAAAGATTTACTCAATACATTATGTAGAAGAATCACTTTTAATATGAAAACTTTAGATGCTGGTGTTTAGTTTTGTCCTATGTGCTTAAAGCTACTACTGGAAAACTATTTATATATACTATGCTTTCATTTTTCTGTTTGTTTTGTGACAATCAATGCCATTCACAGTATTCATGGATTTTTATATCTCTGTGTTACTCATTTCCATTCATCAAATGATTTTATTTAGCAATATTTCTAATTATTGGACTCTTGCCTGAGAACTGAAACACTGACAAAACACAGGCTGATTCTTCCAAATTCATTTTTTTTTAAATTGGAGAAGAGTTAATTGTTAATTGTGTTTAGTAGTTTGCTAGAGAAATCATTAGTGACTTTGACTATCAGAAATTTATTTTGAAAGTATGAGTATAGGCAAATTTCGGATGTGTTTTTTTTTTCCCTAGAATTATTTTTTAAAGTAATTATCAATTAAAACTTGATGTCTGGTGTGCTATTGTTGCCTTGAGTTGATTATACTTCTTCTTTTTTTTAAGGTAAAGTGCAAGTTAAGAGTTCAGACATACAAGTTGGAGACCTCATCATAGTGGAAAAGGTTGATGCATTTTTAATATATTTTAGACCTATATGTACCATTCATTAACTTTAATTCTAATTGCAAGTAAGTTATTAAAAGGAAATTAGACATTTAAAATCCTAATGTCTGTAAGACTTAATGTATTTGAACAAAAATCTACATGTTTATATATTGTCTGTTTTGCCAAGGTATATTTCAACTAGGTAAAATCATATTTTGTCTAACTAACACATTCTAATTGTTTAATGTTTCATTTGACTACAGAATTTAGAACCTATTAATAATATTCTACCTTAGTTTTCAGAACTTCTGTAGCTATATTTTACATAATTATTAGGTATAATTCTTATGGTTTAAAAATTCAAAGAGGGAGTATGAGGTGAATGGAACTAAAAGAGCAGAACAACAACAAAAAAGTTTGGATAATTTTAAGAAAAAGCCATAAAAAAAGCAACAATATTAAGAATAGGAGATATCAGGGCTGCTCCTGGTCTGGAGAGTGATTGAATTGAGTACCTGCGTTTGAAGGTTTGATTCTTAATTGCTTTCTCTGCCTCATTCTGGGATGTGTGAGTGCTTTGCACACTGCAAGTGTTATTTGTCCATGGAACATTAGTGCTGTGGATGTGTTTCCTGTATAAGTGACTGTGCTTGCCCTCTATATTCTTGTTTAATGTCCCCATTGAATTTTCTTTTTCTGTGTTGGAGATTGAACCCAGGGTTTGTGCAATGAGCTACATATCCGGCCCTTTAAGAAAAAAATAGTTTTTTTTTAAAAAAAATTTGAGACAGAATTTTGCTAAGTTGCCAAGGCTCGGCCTGAACTTGTGAGCCTCCTGCCTTGAGAGTGCTGGGATTTACAGTCCTGTGCTATTGTACCTGGCTTTGACTTTCCTTCTTAAGGCTCCAGGAACAATTTTTTTATAAGTTTATAGGACAGGTTCCTGCCAGATCTCCCACAGAACGGTCTAAGTTTGTGATGTCACCTGTTAACAGGTTGTCTAGGGCAGACCTTGAACCTGAAATGGTGTTCCAGCTGAAATGGTCTTGTTACATGCACCTTGAAACCATAATATTAAGTGAAATAATGCCGAAATGCATGGTTTCTTTTATATGAGAAACCTAACATATAAATAATGAACAAAATGAAAAATAGTTAATAGGGAGATAGTTCTTTGCAAAAAGGAGGGGAACCTAGAGACAGAGGAGGGGAAGAGGGTGAAAAAAATTAAAATGTGTTAGGTATATATGTCAGCTTCTCACTAGGAATGTAATCATTATGTGCTGTAAACCTGTAGTAATAAAATAATAAAAATTGGGAAAAAATTTTGCACAGAGAATGTGGTTTAATTTTATAAAATGGGATAAAACCAAACATAGCATTTTACAATTCATTTGCATACTGTTCAGTTGAATGGATACTGTTAGTTACTAGCTTTTTATTCACTTGATTTTCAGTAATATTTTATTTTTTTTTACTATTACAAAATGCTGAGTGAATATCCTTACACATATATCTTTGTGCATTTCTATCATTTTGGTGAAATTGATTCAGCATATTAGTGCTATAAATTTTAATAGTTTTTTCTACTTCTGTCTTAGGCTGTATGTCTGCCATGTTGATGGTCATGTTATTTTGAATACTTTTAAAGTATTTTTTAGTTTTTTGTGGTGGAGATTGAATCCAGGGCCTAGAGCATGCTAAGCACATACCTTACCACTTAACCTTTTTTATATTTTAAATATGGTATAATTAAGAAGGGAGGAAGCTATCTCAGATAAGGGAAATATGTAGCTAAAAGGATTAGTAGCTGTACAAAGTGTGGCTAATCTAGGGAATTTTTAAGCTATTTTATGGGTCTTTTTTTGGAGGGGGTACTGGGAATTGAACTGGGCCCTTGCGTTTGTGAGGCAGGTGGCAGAACCACTGAGCCAAATCCCCAGACCATTAATCTTTTTATGCTTAAAGAGTAGAGTTGATATTTTTGAGGACAGATTGTAGTGATTGAAATGTTTTTCATGTCATTCTGGCAATATTATAAAATGTCATGTCCTATGTAAATATTTTATTTTCTTCCTGATTTGGTAAGTTCATCTAGAAATTTAAGTAAGACAGTAGTATTTATTATTTGTTAATTTTTATTACTTGCTTAGTTTTCTTTTTTTTTTTTTTCCTTTGGTACGGAGATCGAACTTGGGATCTTGTGCATGCAAGACAGGTGGTGTCGTTTTGTTTGTTTTTTAATGTCTATACATACCATGTTGCTTTGAAAATGGTGTTGAGACAGAAATTTTCTTGAGTCTCATTGAACTGTTACACATGGAATATGTTTTCAGGATATGGTTGGTTGCAATTGAAAAACTATGAGTTCCAACTTTTCTGATTTACACCCAATATTAAGGTCTTTATTTATTTATTTTTTCATTGAGTTTATGGGTACTTTTTAAGTATACAGTACAGTTACATTCATCATTGGGATCTTGCACCTTTACATGACATATCTTGGTTCTCATTTTTTTCCACATACCCCTTCCCTCCCTTCAACCCTTCCACCCTTCCCTATTTATGAAGACTTTGTTTCAATTTTTCCCTTTTCTCATGTTTTTTTTCCCTTATTTCCTTCCCCTAAAGCTTTAGCCCTTTTCTTCCTATTTCACATTATTAGTTATACCATTTGGATCTTACTTACACTTTTAGATTTGCACATCAGAGAAACTAGCTAAAATTTAAAAAAATGGTGAAAGCAAATGTTGGCAACACTCAGAAGAAAGATGACTCACACATTTCATAGGGACGTGTCAAATGGTGTAGTTATTCTGGAAAATCATTTGAAGTTTCTTAAAAGAAACTAAATACGCAACTGTCTTGTGACCTAGCAATTACACTCCCAAGCCGTTATTGTAGCGAAATGTTATGTTGATATAAAAGACAGAAATGATAGCATCTGTATTATTTATAATAACCAAAGATCAGAAACATCCTTCACACTGTAAATGAATAATCAGAGACACTGTTGTACATCCACACCATGTGGCGTGTTAGGAAAACATTGCTCTCAGACTGTTTTCCAACTTGAAGAGAAGGAAAGGTAAACTAAAATAATCCAATAATTAATTTAATTTATCTAGTTTATGCATGTACCTAATGCAAAATAAGACAGGAAAGGGAATGGAGAGTGATGCTCTGAAAGTCAAATTAGGAAAACAGTTCCATTTGTCATAGCATCAAAAGGAATAAAGTTCTTAAGAATAAATTTAACAAATATTTCATTTTGAAAATTACAAAATATTTTGAAACATAGTAAAGAAGATTTAAGTAAATGGAAAGATAGCCCATATTGATAGATAAAAGTATTGATATTATTAAAATATCAGTACTTCCTAAATTTATCTATAGATTAATTCAGCCCCTTTAAAAATCCAAGTTGACATCTTTGCAGATATTGACAAGCAGATTTTAGATGTCATAATGGAATTACAAAGACCCACAATAGCTAAAACAATTTTGAAAACTAATGAACAAATTTTGCATATTCATCCTTCTTCATTTCAAAATGACAATTAGGGTAATTTAGACAGCATGGAACTAGTAATATATGTGAAATTGAGAGTGTGGAAATAAAGTCTGAAATTTATGGTTAATTGTTTTTTTGCAAGGGTGTTTCAAAAATTCAGTGGGAGAGCACATGCTTAGACAACTGCCTTTTGTCTAGTCCACTGTTGATTGAAATTTGCATTGCTTCTACATTTTGCCTACTATGTATGATACTTCTGTATTATTTAATCAGTCTTTACATACACACACACATACAACACACACACACACACACACATACACACACACACAGGTGGTTGTTACCTGTATACCTAGAAATGGGATGGGTTTGGGGTAGGAGTGTATTTCACAATAGTCACTGATACACAGTTGTGCAGAGTGGTATGTCCAGTTATACTTTAATCAGCAGTGTCTCTGTGCCAACACTTGACAATTTCAACCTTGTTTAGCATTTCTGGTGTGTATATAGATGTGGTTTTAATGTATATTTCTCTGAAATCTAGTAACGTGGAGACCTTTTTATAATGGCTTTCTATGTCTTTTCTTTTTTCCCAAAGAGCTAGTGAAAATGTTTTGCAATTTTTTTTTCTGGATTAACTCTTTCTTTTCTTAACAGTTTGTAGACCTTTATGTATTATGGGTCACAGACTTTGGTTACATATCTTACAAATACTTTTCCTTACCAGTGGGTGTGTTTGAACAGAAATTCTTGATTTTAATGAAACCCACATTATTAATCTTTTCATTTTTTTCCTTTTATAAATATATGGGTGGTGGTAGTCTTGGTTAAGAAATCCTTCTCCACGAAAAAGTCATACACTGTTCTTATAATGTTTCATGAGTGACAGAACAATTCAGTTGGGAGAGAAAGAAAAGTGTATATATTTTTAAAGATTTTATTGTTTGAACTTTTACATTTAGAACTGTAATTTAAATAGATTTTTATATTATGTTAATGAATACAATTATATATCTTCACTATCCAGTTTTCTGGGGGTATCAAGTTTTCTCAGCATTATTGGAAAGAGCATTATTTCCTTCTTAGTCTGTGGTGTTAGTTGGTATATATTTAGTATATAGTTTATGGGCATTTATCATCTCTGCAGTGCTGTGTATTTTAATTTCTGAAGGTGACAGATTCTAAGTTTTATTTAATTTTTTTCAGTAATGTTTTGTATTTTGATATTATTAATTACTTTGATGTTGATTTTTTTCTTATTACTAAAATGGGTATATATATTTTTAAAATGCTTTCTTGCTGCTTTAATTGTATATATCTATGTATATATCTATCTTTATATATTTATTTGTTTTTATTTTTTTATTTTTTTGGTACTGGGGATTGAACTTGGGTCCAAGTGTGGGCACACTTTAATGACTTGTATTTGTTTTTATTACTTATTCGCTGAACAAGTAAACCATTTTATCATATATAGATACATCTTAGTTGTCAAAAGTAATTTCATAAATTATGTGAAATATTCATATTTTAGATACTTTTTCTTCATGTTCATTTTTCCTTTAGCTTCTCAAATTGATAGAATTATCAGTAATAATGTTTAAATATATAAATAGTGATTATAAATATGCATTATAATCTGAAGTTACTCGTTCTCATTATAACATTATTTTAGTTGTTTTTACTAGACATTTCTGCTGTAGAATGAATTATATCTATATATAAACCTGCATGTAGATAATTAATATTTTATATTATTCTTTGCAGAATCAAAGAATTCCATCAGATATGGTGTTTCTCAGAACTTCAGAGAAAGCAGGTATTTATTTAACAGTTCTGTTGGTTTAGTATTATGGCAGTTTAATATTTATTTTTAAAGATAAAAGTAAAATTTATGTCTATACAAATTCCTATTTGGATAATATTTTGAACTCAGTAATTTTTAAATCATTTCTAGTTATTGCTGTTTAAAAAGGTAACTTGATTTTATAAAATGTTTGCTTAAAAAGTAATCATACGAGATTAACTGTCCAGTGAATGTTTTCATTCAAAATTATATTTAGACAATTTATTCATCAATTCTGTAAAACATTATTTACTTCTTATTTAGCCCTAGGGACTAATAATTGCTTAAAACACAAAAGATCCTCTTGCAGCTTTCAAAGAGTTTATGGTTTATGTATCTGTGGAAATTCATACAGTGACAGTAATAATCTTATTTTATAACAGTGAATTGCTTTGGGCTGTGGGAGAGAGGGTAGACAATTTCATCTGGGTAAGTTGCCATGAGCTTCACTAGAAGAATGATATTTAGATGATCAGAGCTTTCAACAAGAAGAAGCAAGTAGAAAAGGGGTAATAGGATGGAAGCTTATGTGGTCATGGTCAAGTGATCAACAAAAGCCATGTTGGAAATGAGGATATCTCATTTTGAATCTCTTTGACCTGTTCCTAATGATATGACCCAGCTACTGTATATGGGCACATTTTCATCATCTCTTGGCTGAGGGCCATGTGTGAAGGGATGTAGAAATCCTTTCTGCCCTACACTTGTAACTTGAACAGATGAACCATGTTTTTATAGGAAACTCAGTATATTACTTTTAGTGTGAATACCCTAGGAGCAAGTCCAGTTTCAGAAGTGTTAATTTTCCTTCCATTCATAAACAGCATTTTTTTTTTTTGTGAGTGTGTGTTTAGGATGCAGAATGATGATGTTCCATTTGGGGCAGTATACATGCATGTAACATATTTTGATGATTTCATTCCCTTTTTGCCCTCCATTTCTTTTCTTCTCCCCACTCCATCTTTTTCCTATCTCTAAGAGTCTACCTTCTAGTTTTCTATTATCTTTTCTTATTTTATTCATTTATTTATATTTTAGGTTTCTCTTGTAAGAGAAAACACAAGATATTTAAACTTTCATTGTCTGGCTTATTTCACTTGGCATGATGGTCTTGAGATCTGTCCATTTCCTGCAAATGACATAATTCTGTTTTTCTTTATGGATGAATAATATTCCACTATGTATATATACCCATTTTCCTTACCCAGGCATCTAGCTTCTTTCAATAGTGTAGCTTTGTGAACTGCTCTGCTATAAACATGAGTATGCATGTATCACTACAGTGTGATGTCTTTAATTTTTACACAAATATATCCAGGAGAGAGATAGTTTGGTCAAATGGAATTTCTAGTTTTAGCTTTTTAAGGACTCTCCGTCCTTAAAAACCACTTATGGTTGTTGTAGTAGTTTATATTCCTACCATCATCACCCCTTCCTGATTTTTGCAGGAATCCATTGTTTTTGTGTTCTACTGGCCATACTGAAATTGTTAAAATGGAATCTCAGAATTGTTTTGATTTGCATTTCCTTTATGGCTAAAGATGTTGAACAGTTTTTCATGTACTTATTGAACATCTTTACTTGTTCTTTGGAGACGTGTCTTTTCAGTTTGTTGGACCATTTTTTGATTGCATTAATTGTTTTGGGAGGATAAATTCTTCTGAGTTCTTTATATGTTCTGGATATTAGTCCTCTACCAGAAGAGTAGCTAATAATAATTTTCTCGTATTCAGTAGGTTGCTCACTAATTTTGCCTGCTAATTTTTTCCTTTGCTTTCTAATTTGTTTTAATTTCATTCAATGATTCTTGATATTGTTTCTTGTGCTATTGGAGTTCTGTTCAGAAAGTCTTTGCCTGGGCCTCTGCCTTCAAATGTTTTCCCTGTATTATCTTTCAGCAATTTCAAAGTTTCTTTTGTTATATCTGTGTCTTTAATCTATTTTGATTTGATTTTTTAAAAAATTAATTTTATTGGTATATTCAAGCTATACAATATAATGACATTCATCATTGGAAATTTGCGCCTTCACATATCTTGATTTGATTTTAAAGAGGGTAATAGGTAGGGATCTAGTTTGAGTCTTCTGCAAGTGGATATCCAGTTTCCCAGTACCATTTTTAAAGAGGCTTATCTTTTCTCCAATGCATATTTGTTCCTTTTGTCAAAATTAGCTGGCTCTAAGTGCATGTGGTTATTTCTGTGTCCTGTATTGTATTCCAGTGATCTACATGTCTGTTTCTGTGCCAGTTCCATGTTGTTTTTTGTTACCATAGCTTTGCAATATAACTTGAAATCCAGGATTGTGATGCCTCCAGCTTTGTTCTTTTTGCTCAGGATTGCTTTGACTATTCTGGGTCTTACTTTATTCCATATGAATTTTAGGATTATTTGTTTTTATGTAAAGAGTATTGTTGATATTTTAATAGGCATTGCAAGAGTCATATTCCAATGGTAGGGAGGGGAGTTTTTGAACATTAAATTTTTAAAAAATTTAATTAGTATATGTCTATGATATGAATACATCACCCCAGGTATGGCTCATCCTATAATACCAGGACTTTAAGAGGTAAAGTGTCAGCAGAGCTGTGAGCTCTTTTCCCTGGCTTGCTCCTAGTCTGAGGAGTGTACTCTTGCTTCCCCTCCTTTTCTTTTTTTTTTTAATTTTGATTTTAATCTTATATATCTTTTTTTAAAATCTCCATATATTTGTGTAGCTCCTGTAGTTTGTTTTGCTTAAACAGCATACTTTCGAAGGAACATTTTTACATCACGAAAAAGAGAAAATGTTTGCTCTTTTTGCCAACTTTAGTTGTGCTTGTTTACCTTGTCAGCTAAAGCTGTCATGAGTAGAGGAATTAGTCCTCCTAATTAAGTGTCCTATGTACTTGGTCATTATATTTATGATACGTTATTTAATGTGAGTTTTATATTCCCAACTATGACAGAAACTGGACAGCTATGTTTTCAACTCATTTCTTTTTTTCTCTTGGAAACCCAGCTGTGCTGTGTTCCCTCACTTTCCTCTCCAGTTAGGTGGCACCATGTGACTGACCTCTGGCCCAAAAAAGGGAGCTAAAAGTCATGTAAACTGGATGTTACCTCTCTTGTGCTCACCTACTTACTCTTCCTTGCTGCCAATTAGGTGGCCTTGGAACTTCTTATTAGATGTTAGACCTTTTGTTATGCTGTTTTCCGGAATGACTCTCTGGAACAGTGTTCCTTTCCTCCCATGACCATATGGATTCCATTTGACAGTTAAATAAATTCACAGTTTCAAACGTTGAGGTTGCAAATTTGCTCTTTAGAATAGCTAGTATTCACTTAACCAGTGTCTCATCCCAGTTGGTCTCCATATTGGAAGGGTTATTGATTCTCTTTTAAAATTGTGTTATTTGCTTTTAGAATTTTGCACTTATATTTTTGAAACAATCATTTGGCAATATTGGAGTATAATGTGCCCTTTTTCCAAATGCTTCTGCACTTAGTGAGAATGCAGAGGGACTGTCTATAGTTTTTTTAATAGTCCAGCAGTAGGCCTTATTCATAGTTTGATGCATTCATTGTAGTGCATTGTTGTATAGTACAGATGCTGACTGCTGTGGGAGGTTGGTCAGTCCAGAGTCCCTTTCAGTCTTCTTAATTACAGGCACATGCTCTTTCTGTGAGACACCTAAAGAATGCACATGATAGAGTACATACACCCAGGAGTCAGCTGTCAACAAGTTCAGATGTGTACTGCCACCTACATACTACTACTTCTTTTTTTTTTGTAGCTGGGATGGAACTCGGGTTGTTGGGCTTGCCAGGCAGATGGTGGTACCACTAAATTGAATCCCTGGCCCCACAAATACTTCTTAATCATTATGTATATCCCTTTATGTGTTGCTGGCTCTGATTGCTAGTGTTTTGTTAATGATTTTTTGCCTCTGTGTTCATATTGGGCCATGGGCTTTAAAACAATTTTTTTCTGCTTATTATATATTTGTTATGGTATCAAGGTAATTCTTACTCTACAATGAGCTTAGAAGCGTTCCTTCCACTTCTATATTTTGGAAGAGTTTTTGAAGAATTATTATTTAAATTTTTGGTAGAATTCATTCATGAAGACATTTGGGTTTGGACTTCAAAAAAAAGTTTTTAAAATATTCTTTTTCTATGTTAGAGGACTAATATTGTCTGTTTCTTTTTGACTCCGCTTTTGGTAGTTTGTGTGTGCTTTTTCTTTTTTATTAATTTGTCTACTTTATCTAGTTTATCTTATTTTTTAGCATATTATTATTTTTGGTATTCCCTTAAAATTATTTTTATTTCTGTAGTGATGTATCTTCCTTCATTTTTGATATTAATAACTTGATTCTTTTCTTTTTTTTCTGATTCACTCCATGTAAAGCCTTGTCAATTTCGTTGATGTTCTCAAAGAACTGCCTTTTGGTTTTAACAATTTTCTCAATTATTTTCCTGTTCTTTGTGTTATTTATTAATTTGTATTTATTATACCTTCTTCCATTTGTTTTGGGTTCTATTTGTTCTTGTTTCTATAGTTTAAGATGTAATGTTATGTTATTGATTTGATGTCTTTTTAAAATACAGGTTCTTATAGCTATAAATTTCCATCCAAGCATGATTTTTGCTGCATCCCTTATGTGTGTTTTGATTTTCAACTTCTCAAAATTATTTTCTAATTTTCCCTGTGCTTCTTTCCTTGGCCTATATTGTATGATGTATATGCACTGTGATCAGCAGTCAGAAAGACAGGCTCATAAAAACAATCTAATGTGTCCTAATGTACTTTATTCCCTGGATCTAACAGTGTAGGACTTCTTACATTCCTCAGTCAAAATGACCATGACAGGTACACATTTTGAATTGACTCAGGACATTGAAGCAGCAGACGTGACAGAGGAACTAAAGGCACTGACTAAAGCCTTCCAGAACTGCTCCCGAAAGTGGCAAGAACAATGGAATAAGTGT